TCTTCTGATGTTAGTTTTATTTGAATATTTTGTAACATATTTTAGTTATCATCCGTTACTTTCTTTTTTTTTTGTTCGGTATCATTATCCTGCCTTTTTTTTTTCTTCCGCTAATATTCTTTTACTCTTTAGACCAAATGTATTTTTTTTTCATAAAAAATAGAGATTTATATTAAAATAAAAGAAGACCATAAATGAATTTTTATCGCAGGCATATAGCCTAATTAAAATAAAAGCATAACCTATAACATTAGTAATATATTTAAATTACACCGATAATGGGTATAAATAATTAAGTAAAGAAGGTCATCTGTAATTAAAGATTGCATCTACAATCACTGTGTAGGCATAAATAGGACTACTAAAGTAGAAAGGAAAGTCGTTATAGATATCAAAAATTACTGGACGTCCTTACCTATTTAGCCAGTTTGATGAGGAGAGTATTGAATCTCAAGATCAACGGTCTCTAACCTACTAGATGTTGTCTCTTTCTAATGCATGCTTCAACAAGCAGGAGGGTCATGGCCTTTAGCCAATTGGGCTAAAGCCACCCCTGCGTTGTCTACAAGCACTTTAAAGGCTCTCTCTTCCTCCATAGGCGTTAGACAACTTCTCCGCTTGTTTTGAGTGCATTCCTCTATGTGCAACGTGGATACCCTTGCACGATCTAGCCTTTTCCAACTACTCTTATTTGCTTTTGTATTTTTCCCTTTCTCTCTATGATTACCCATGTTCCCAAACTGTTGGGACAAAGGAACGTCCATCAATTGTACCTCAGCAATTGGAGGCAAAACAACACGAGACTGGTTTGTCTCTACTCCAAACCCCACGTCATTTGTGCCATTCTCATTGTTACCGCCCTCAACTTGTCTTCCACATGAGCATATTATTAAGTGATTGGATTTCTTTATTCTCAGAATGCTCTGTATCATCTATGCCCTTATCCTCCACCAAAATGTGGGTATTTGCAGAGAAGGCTTCATCCAAAACATCAAAGATCATTTGTGCACCATAAGTTCTCTAATTCAGCTTTTAATCAAGGACCAAAGTGCCTGATAATCATACCACCTGCATCTTTTAATGCAATGAGCAATTTCACAATCATTCTTGACATGTCCCAAACAACCACAAACAAAACAAAACTCTAGAAGTCTTTCATATATTAATATTAAGTCATTACACACATATGGTTAATTTGAGTGTTAAATCTACATATTTTA